TGTTGGCCAGGCGGGTCTCGAACTCCTGACCTCAGGTGATCCACCCACCTGGGCCTCCCAAAGTGCTGGGATTACAGGTGTGAGCCACTGCGCCCGGCCCTTGTTTCATTTCTACTGGCTGATTGGTAAGAGCTCATTTTATATGATAGGAATTGAGTTTATTTTTCCCTGGCTTTGTTTGTGTGTTTTGTTTTGTTTTGTTTTGTTTTTGCTATACAACAGTTTTACAGTTTTATACAGCTCAAAAAGTTCACCATTTGTTTTATAGATTGAAGATTTCCAACCTTAGTTAAGAAAGTCTCCTGGCTCCTGAGGTGGGAGTGGCAGGCTCTTCCCCCCCATCCCTCTCCTAGGCCTGTCCTTAGCGTGTGGGAGGGAGGGGTGCAGTTCTTGTCAATTTGTAGGCATTCTTTTTTTTTTTATGTGATCTTGGCTCACTGCAACCTCCACCTCCCGGGTTCAAGTGATTCTCATCCCTCAGCCTCCCGAGTAGCTGAGACTACAGGCATGTGCCCTAATTTTTGTACTTTAAGTAGAGACGGGGTTTCACCATGTTGGCCAGGCTGGTCTTGAACTCCTGGTCTCAAATGATCTGCCTGCCTCAGTCTCCCAAAGTATTGTGATTACAGGCATGAGCCACCGCGCCCAACCTGTGTGCACTCTTTATATATTATAACTTGTAATGCTATGCTTTTGAAATATTGCAAATATCTCCTCAAGCCTTTGTACGCTGTCTTGCAAAAGGTTTTTAACGTGTTATGCAAATACTGCTATCTTGTACTTCACAGATTCTGGATTGCCAGCCTTGGTTGGGAAGATTGCCCGGTCTGAGCCTGGTGGGGGTGGGGCGTGGGGCTCCTCATCTCCTTCTCTACCTGCCCGCACCCCACAAGGGCCTCTATCCTTATCTCCAGCTTCTCCTTTCCCAAGGTCCTGCCTCCCAGGGAGGGAGCCTGCCCAGCCAGGAGGCCCCAGCCTCCCACTCCCGCCTCCCCCAACCCAGTCTTTCCTTATCTAGAATAAGGGTTGTTCCATTCCTTATTTATTTATTTATTTTTCCTGGCTTTGTTGCCCAGGCTGGAGTACAGTGAAACGATCTCAGCTCACCACAGCCTCGAACTCCTGTGCTCAAGCGATCCTCCGGACTAGGCTTTGTGAGTAGCTGGGACGACAGGCCAGGCCACCACGCTGGGCTAACTTTATTTTTAGTAGGGACGGGATCTTGCTATGTTGCCCAGACTGGTCTCAAACTCAGGTGATCCACCCGTCTAGGCCTCCCAAAGTGCTGGGATTACAGGCGTGAGTCACCAGCAAGCTTCTTGTCAATTTTTAAAAGTTCTTCCCATTTCTGTCTATTAACCTATGCCACCCTCTGTGTTGCAAATGACTCCTCCTCAAGTCCTGTCTCTTGTCTCTATAATGTTGTTGGTCACCTAACATCTTAAGGTGCTAAGTTGTATACATAGCGTCCACCTTGTACCCAGGGTTGTGGGTTTCCGACCTAGGTTAGGCAGGTCTCCCGGCTCCTGGGGGAGGGGCGCCCCCCCTTCCCTCCATGAGTCCTTATCTGGCAGCTTGTCCCTTCCCACGGGTCGGGCGCATAAAAGCGCGCTGGGCCGCGGCGGGGCACTGCCACCATGTCCTCACCTGTCTCTTATACACATCTAGATGTGTATAAGAGACAGGCCCTGAAGCACTCGGACGGGACGCGCACTTGCCCCAAGCTCTATGACAAGAGCGACCCCTACTATGAGAACTGCTGCACGGGCGCCGAGCTGTCGCTGGAGCCGGGCGCAGACCTGCCCTACTTGCCCTCCAACTGGGCCAACACCGCCTCCTCGCTTGTGGTGGCCCCGCGCTGCGAGCTCGTCGTGTGGTCCCAGCAAGGCAAGGCGGGCAAGACGCACAAATTCTCTGCCGGCACCTACCTGCGCCTGGAGGAGTACCGCCGGGGCATCTTGGGAAACTGGTCCAACGCTATCTCCGCGCTCTACTGCAGATGCCCAGCTGCCCAAAGCTCCGAGCCCACCCCAGGCCCCGGCCCCAGCTCCGCACAAACCCCCACACCCATCATCCAAGCCCCGAGGCTGCTCCACACCCCTGAGCTCCTGACTGGAACTGGGAGCACCAAGCCTCCCTAAAACCAGTCGTGGAGGCCCCATCTCAGAGTCCTTACTCAGACCAGGTCCTCCTTCTCTTCACCCCCAGCACCCGGTCCCCACTCCACCTGCAGCCCAGGACCCTGGGACGGAGATCTCGCCCCAGCTCTGGGATTCAGAGCCAACCCTCCATCTTCTGGAATCCTCTACCTACCCACCCACCCACAGCTGTTCTTCCCAGGGAGGGCTGGCTAATTCTGGGGACTGAGAACTCCTAGACCCCCTCACCTTGGTCCCCAGAACCAAAGCCAGCCCCCATGCCTCAGATAATCACATCTCAAAATTCCCAGACTCCAAAACTAACCCAGACCTCAAGACCTCAGACTCAATTATAGGAACCCCCAGTGTGTAGCCTTCCTGCTCTCCACTCCCCTAGACCCTCTAGACCAGCCTCAGCCCTAAAACCAGTCCCACAGCCCACCCCTAAGACCCATCCCTGGAGGTCCCTGAGGCCACCTTGCACTCACAGACCTGGGACCTAGATCCAGCGGTGACACCCTCCCAACCCCCCAAGCCCTCCCAAGTCACTCCCGTCCCCCAAGGGCTCCAAGGAGCCCCAACTCCAAACTCGCAAGCTAGGATCCCTGGTTCCTGAACTTGGAGCCTCAGACCCAGACTCCCCAGTCCCCACCCAACCTCAGGCTTCTAGAACTCACAGACCCTCGGTCTCTGAGAGCCCCTGGAAGCAATTCTTGATTACATTTCAGGTGCAGCTGATGCTTTGCTGGTCTCTCATCTGCAGCTTCCACAGAGTGCCAGACCCCTCACTCAGCCCATTCCTGGGCTCTGCTGCGGGGCCCCAAGACCCAGGAGAAGGAGCGTTCTGCCCGCCCCTCCCACCTCCCCTGCAATACAGCCTTTGTGCACTGGTCCCCGTCTGTCATCTGCTTGTCCCTGGGATGCACATCCTCACTGGACCGGGTGGGATGGAGGAGAGAGCAGGGTGGTTGGGCCTGGGTCAGCCCATACACAGGACAATGCCATGGATGAGGACACGTCATCGACTTGGACATGGTTTTACGTGTGCACAAAGACACGCACCACAGAAGGACATGTGAGTGAACTACAGGGGAACCTTGGGCTGACTGTTAAATATGAAATATGCCCCAGCCTTTTCAGTAAATAACCCTTCTTTAGCCTGGTGTGGTGGCTCAGGCCTGTAATCCTAGCACTTTGGGAGGCTGAGGTGGGCGGATCACCTGAGCTCAAGAGTTGGAGGCCAGCCTGGCAAACATGGTGAAACCCCATCTCTACTGAAAATACAAACATTAGCCGGAAATCACTTGAACCTGGGAGGTAGAGGTTGCAGTGAGCCGAGATCGTGCCACTGTGCTCCAGCCTGGGCAACAGAGCGAGACTCTGTCTCAAAGCAAACACACAAGCAAAAAACTCCTCCTTGAGCCATTTCTGGCCTCCCAGGGGGCCTCCGGACTCCCTCCATGGTTCCTGCAGGGGACAGCAGGGGGCCTTCTAGGACCCAGCCCTGGGCTAGGGCTGGGATCTGCAAGTGATCAGATCAGGACTTAGTGGTTGATAAATGCTTTTAATCCCCACATTCCACACACGGGGGACACTGTCATTCACATTTTCATATTTCTGTTCTGGTCACAGTCTGTGTCCCCACACCCTCATGAATGAGGGACTTTGATGGATGCCTGGGTTTGGGGGATCTGCGGTAGCTGGAGAAGATACACAAAGGGTCTTCGGAGGAGAGTGTGGGACAGCTTTGAGGGGACGACAACTGCAGACACCTGGAGGGAGCTAGAGGAAATTCTGAGACTTAAGAGATATGGAATGACCAGGCGCAGTGACTCACGTCTGCAATCCCAGCACTTTGGAAGGCCAAGGTGGGTGGATCACTTGAGGTCAGGAGTTTGAGACC